TTTATCTTTAATTTGTATTGGATCTGTGATTATTTGTGTTGTTCCATCCTCTTGCGTGTTTATGATTCGGTCTAATATAATTTGTCGGGAGTCTCTATCTAAGACTTTGTCAATCATGTGTTTTGGTTTAGTGCTTAGAAATTCTTGACGTAATTCAATCTTATGTTTGATTTCTTTTTTCTTTTCCCTTATTAATTCTCGTTTAATTAGTTTTCTTATGGTTATCCATAATTTCTTTATATTATTGACCCATTCCAATTTTTCCTTTGGTAATCCTGCTGAGGGGAAAGATTGAATATTTAATTCGTATTTGTTTGTTAATTTATTTTTCATTGTTTCTATGGTTACTAATTTTTGCGCATTCATATTATTTGTACTTTCTATTTTACTGCCTAATCGATATAATTTGTTTCATATATTTAACATAGGATATTTCAAGTGTTTTTGCCACATAATAGTTGTACGATTTCTTGGTTCCTTAGCTTTTGGTAAATTTTTGTTTCCTACATTTATTATTGTGGATTTGATTTTTTGCCATATATCTTCAACTAATTTTAAGTTTGTTCTCAACTGCAATTGTTTTTCCCAAGCATCTTCTGTCTCCTGTGTGAATTTCTCCCAGTTTTCTTTATCCGTCATTTTCAAATTCCAAAGTCGAGGAGTTCTGTAGTTTACCCTTTTATACTTCTTATAACTAGTACCATCACAATATTTACTCACGTCTAATGTCACGTGTGCACAAAAATGATCGCTATTTGCTATCAAAGTCATATCGTCTATATCCGCATCCATGATAAGTTCCTCATGTGATTGATGTATCCAAATTAAGTCAATACGACTTTTACTTCTGATTTTTTCCTTAAAACTTTGATAAAAAGTATATTCCTGTTTATCCCCATTATGATGTCTATATGTGTCCGTATATTCACTCCAAATAATTGATTGGAGTAAGTTGCTTTCTGGCGATGTTTTAGTTTTTACAGGGAATCTATCTTTGCTTGGGTCAGAGGTGGCATTCCAGTCTCCCATGATTATTGAGATCCAATTGTTTGATAAAGCTTGTGAGATGTGATTATATAACCAAGGTTTTAGTTTTCTTAATATGATATTATTTGACGAATATTTGTTTGATGCATAGATTCCGATAATTTGAAAAACTACCCTTCCTTTAAATGATAAAAGAATACATATACCGTGTCCTTCGAATTTATCTATTTTATATACGTGTTTAGCTATATTTGATTTTATCATAATGCCAACTCCAGATCCAATATTATTATTATAAGCTTCTGTTGTTGATGACCATCAAATATTATATAATGGATCTTGTGGGTTGGATGTTTGGTTTTGTTCGAAAAATATAAATTTTTCCGTCTCTTTGGTTGTTTTTGTTTCTGTTAATAAAACTACGTCGAAGTTTTCTTCAATACAATAGTTCCACCACGTATTTTGTTTTACTATGTCTCTCAAACCCCTGGTATTTTGCGTACCTATTTTCCATATTATTTTTTGATTATTCTCATCATTATTATTTATTCTAATATTATTATTATTGTTATCATTATTATGATTATTATTATTATTGTTATTATTGATATTATTACGATTATTATTATTGTTATGATTATTATTATTATTAGTATCCTTGCTATCTGTAGAATTTATTGAATTATTACTAGATGATAGTTGCTTGCATTCCATCATCATTAATTAAAATTATAGAGTAGGGAATTTATTGAGAAGACAGAACGCTTCCCATTTTCTTATCTATGTTGTCTTGTCGTGTTGATATTGATTGAATCTGTTGCGTGATAGTAGACAATTGGGTAGACATTATTTGCATCCAATTTTTGGGTTGTTTAGTATTATCGTTATTTGAGCTTCCTGCATTGATGTTATTATCATAAGTTACATTTCTTATGTCGTTATTGTTATTGTTGAAAGTGTTGGTATTCCAGACATTATTATTATAATTATCATTATTGTAGTTGTTATTGTTTTGAATTTCTTTTTCAAATTCTTCCATAGTATCATTAGCATTGACAATTTCTAAGTGTTGTTCTACACGTTCCATTCTTTTAGTTAAGTTGTTTAATAATTCTATAGCATTTTCCATCGTTTGTTGTAGATTTGTTAATTGAGTAGTGAATAAGTCTATTTGTTGAGTATTTGTTTCTTTGTTGATGTATCTGACTTGTTGATGAGACCTGTTAATATTAGTTTTTAGTACTCCCACGTATGAAGGATCCAATCTTTTTTGTATTCTGTTGTACGCCGACGGGTTGTGTCGTTTCCATACTTTTCCAAATTTATCCATTCTTTGTTGTAAGGCTATGTTTCTTTCATTTGTTTTTTGAGTGACTGGACAATCTTTTGCTAGATGTGTAATATCATAACATCTGTGACATGCTTTTACATTCATATCCATTAATTCGACAGTGAAGTCTTCTGTTTCCCATTTATAACCTATAGCACCTGTTTTTATTTCTTCTGATTCAAATGATAAAATAGCCATCCTTTTTCTCGCATAAAAAGCATTTCTAGGAACGTAACAAGTCATAGCACCTATTTTTTTGAATTCATTATATAATTCTGCTGGGTTCATTCCTGGAGGAATACCCAGAGCCCTGACAGCATATTCTCCTCTTTCTTTCAATTGTGAAGTTGTTACACCTGGTGGCGTTACCCTAACAATATCTTCACCAATAATTTGTGACCATGATTTGATAAAATTTCTAGCATCTTCTGGATCTACAAATGTAACATATGCTTTTTGCCACATTTCTCCAAGTACAGTGCTGATCGATTCCACTTTACCATATCTGTGTTCCAATTCTGTTTTAAGCTCATTCTTTTTTATACTAACAGGTAAATTCCAGATTATTGTGTATCTCTGCATATTGTTTGCGTTAATGATACATATATTGAGTGACTTTTCTTTCAATTTGAATTTTTCTTTGTCTCCATTGATAAATTCAAGGTCTAGAGCTTTTTTAAGTTTCTCCTTTTTATTAAAATAAATTGCAATATAACTGCCTTTAGTTTTTTTCCTATATTCTACTTTAATAAAAGTATATTCTATTTTTCCTTTTAATTCTTTAGTAATCCAAGCTAATTTTTGTCCGATACTTTTTTCCAAAAAATCTTTTACCAATGCTCTTACTTTATATCTTTTAAGTCCGAGATTTTGTCTCCAAATTGGGTGTTCTGAAATATTACTATTATTTGAATGAATTGATTGAGTGTCGTCTTCTCCATTATCTTCGTTCATATTTCCCTCATTTTTATTTTCTTGAATTCCACTACTTTCTTCGTCACTTTCATAACTTAAGTTCCTTTTACCTTTATTATATTTTACTGTCAAAAATTGTTGTTGTTCTTCTGCTGTTTGATTGTCTTCATATTGTTATTGTTCGTCAATTATCAAGTTTTCTTCAGTTTCAATTAAGACAGTTTCAACTTCCATTTCTTTTGTTTGTTCAGGTTGTTTTTGTTTGCTTGTTGACACCTTCGCTTTAATGTTTTCTAAAGTGGAACCAGACTTTAAGGGTTTATCCTTCTTAAGTGAGTCATGTCTTGCTCCTTTGTTAAGAGACTCTTGGTGTTTACCCGTACCTGTCCTGCTACGAGTAACTCTACTTGCACTAGAGGAAGGGTTTTCTTCCATGTTTTCGCACTGGTTTTTCTTTTTAGTTTTAAGGTTTTAATGTGTTTACTGTGGAATTTAATTTTTCTGACGGAATGCAGAAAGAGTTTTTTAATAATCAATATTTTGTAATTTAAATGGACCAGTGAGGTCTCGACTATACTTGCACGCAAAATTATTTTGGGATCCCGAAATTACAATTTCAGGGAAAAAAGTCAAAATAGTTTTTCATAGAAGACAAAATTATTTTACTTAAAACCCGAATTTTTTTGACCACCCAGATTTATTCTTTGATTAAAGATACATATAACTAGGTACTTTTTTTACTTCCATATATAGAATAGATTTTGC